GCCGCAGGAAGGCGGCCAGCGCGGTGTCCGTGGAGCCGCACCGGCACGAGGGCGTCTTCATCTACCGCGGGGCGGAGGACGCGCTGGTCACGCTGAACATGGTGCCGGGCCACTCGGTGTACGGCGAGCGGCGCGTCACGGTGACCGAGGGCGGCGTCAAGCAGGAGTACCGCACGTGGAACCCCTTCCGCTCCAAGCTGGCCGCGGCCATCCTGGGCGGGGTCGACCAGATCCACATCAAGCCCAAGTCCAAAGTGCTGTACCTGGGCGCCGCCTCGGGGACCACCGTCTCCCACGTCTCCGACATCATCGGGCCCGACGGCCTGGTCTACGCGGTCGAGTTCTCCCACCGCGCCGGCCGCGATCTGGTCAACGTGGCCAAGAAGCGAACCAACATCATCCCGGTCCTGGAAGACGCCCGGCACCCGCTCAAATACCGCATGCTCATCGGGATGGTGGACGTGATTTTCGCCGACGTGGCCCAGCCGGACCAGTCCCGCATCGTGGCCCTGAACGCCCACACCTTCCTTCGCAACGGGGGCCACTTCCTCATTTCCATCAAGGCCAACTGCATCGACTCCACTGCGTCTGCCGAGGCCGTGTTTGCTTCTGAGGTGAGAAAGTTGCAGCAGGAGAACTTAAAGCCTCAAGAGCAACTGACCCTTGAGCCCTATGAGAGGGACCACGCCGTGGTCGTGGGGGTCTACCGGCCCCTTCCCAAGAGTGGCAGCAAGTAGCACCCAGCGCGGGCTGTCTCCGAGATCCCCCCAAGACTGTGCTGTGTTCAGTGTGACTATGTATGTGTTTTCTTCGTGTTTTTTCTTTCTTTTGTTTTTCTATTAAATGGCATAAAGAAACAGTCCCCAGGTGTATCAGTGAGGCCAGATTGGGTTTTGCTTCAGTGACAATCCCCAAATCCCTAAGACAGCTGGTGATAGGGGCCCATCAAGGTGTAACAGCCTGGGAGCTGTGCTTACTCTAATCACTGACTCCCGAGGGCCCCTCTTCACACTTGCTTCCTTATCACACGGGGGGTGAGGAGAGCTGTGGAATTGCTAATGAGTTTGTGAAGTCCCCCTTGGAACTGAGGGGCACTTTCTACACATTTGCCAAGTCACATGAACAACCCTGATTCCAGGGAGTGGCGTTGGATATTGGTGGACAGTATTATAGTCTAACACACCCAGTCTGTCTGACTCCAAGCCAGAGTTCTAACCACAATATATATTTAGTAGTTTTCAGCTAAGCGCTTTTGCAGTCCCTTAGTCCATTTAATCATCACCCCAGCCCTGAGATGGCTTTGTTCCCATTTCCCATTCATAGGCGAAGCAACAGGTTTCTGAAAGGTGAACTGATCACCCAAGTTTACAGAGCCCGTGAGGAGGTGGAACTTCAATGCCAGTCTTTTCAGCTCTAATCCACTGCTATTTCCTTTACACCAGTGGATTCTTACCTCTCTTCCACATGGTCCACACTGGACAGATCGCAAGTCTCAAAACAGGGTACATACACAGCTGGCTCTTTGGCTGCATTGCGTTCTTTCTTCCACTCTGTGCTACCCTTTTCTTAGATTTCAAAATAGCAAATCAAGGCAGACTGTTCCCACTGTAAGGCATAACATACCCAAAGTACTGTCAGCAAGTGTCAGAGAAACAGTCCGAAAAGTGACTCTCTCAAAGTAGCTGGGTCTAAAGGGCATTTCCTCCAGACTCCGAGTTGCTGGACTCAGTACATTCAGTTCTGGTTCTGCAAACCAGCCTGAAGGGAGCGGAAGAGTGAACAATCAATCCCAAGACAGCTGGGAATGCCCCCAGACCAGGCGTTAATAAAGACTTTTATTCATTCATTCACTCAGACATTCAAAAAATGCCCATTGCCAATTGCTAGGGCAGTCAATACATTGTCTGGGAGTGATTGCTCACTAATGCATCATTTGGAGAGTGGCTCTGCCTTTCCAAAGATGTGCTTGGGCAGAGATTGAGGTTAGTCTGCATTTCCTGAGGACATACTTTTTGAACCAAAAAAAGAAGACTAATCAGATTTTTTAAAAGGCAGCCACCCCTCTACTCCTACCCCACCCCCAGTGCCCCACCACATGCACACAAAAGATACAGTGCAGAGCGAGAGCTACAGTTCGAATTTGTTGGCCAGACTGACTCAGGAAGAAGGGGGTGAATGGAGTAAATGTCTACGAAAACCCAAACCAGACATTTCCATAAAGAGCATGAAATCTTCATTAGAACTCTGCAAAGCAAGGATTATAATTCCCATTTAACAGGTAGGAAACTCCAGTTCAGAGAGATGACGTGACTTGCTTAAGGCCCCCGGTGAGGCTCACAGCCAGAAATCAAAACCATAGGAGGCAGAGGCCAAAATCTGTGGCCTTTCCATGGAGGTCAGTGCTGGCTCCTTTGCTTTGAAAGGCCTTTTCTCCAATCTTAGGCTATTATTGCTGGGCTGATACCCTGAGACTGGAGATGGATGCCCAGGAAACAGGAAGATTACTTCCAGAATCTTACAGGATCCAGCCCCTCCTCAGAGGCAGCTCAGCCTCTGTAAGAAGTTCTTGGTTCTTCCTTGCAGGGTGTCTGTCCCCTATCCTGGGGGACAGCACAGGGGAAACTTGACCTATTTCCTTGGCATGAGCATTCCCACATACTCACACAGGGACAATTTATAGTCCAGGTCTGAAGCTGCTTGAAGTAGGACCATCAGTGGAGAAATGGCATGAAAACAACCTCGTAAAGAATGTCTCTGAGTTGCAGATGGGTTCCTGGGCCAATGGAATGACATGGTAAGTACTAAGAGAAATATGGGAATAAGGACTAAGGGAATATAGAAGGGAAACTAAAACCTGGTTTTGGAGAATAAGGGTGGGGGTCAGTATGGGACTGAAGCTCCATTGGGCAGTAAGTCCCAGGAAATAGGGAGCAGTGACACTGGGCACCTGACCTGCTCAGAGCTGAGAATGCTTTGGTTTCCAGAAGTCATTAAATTGAGATCTCTAGGTGTCTTAGACTGCTCACGCTACCATAACAAAATACTAAAGTCCGGGTGGCTTAAATAATTCACATTTATTTCACCCAGTTCTGGAGGCTAAAAGTCCAAGGTCAAGGTGCCAGTGGGGTTGGTTTCTGGTGAAGCCTTTCTCCTTGCTTTGCTGATGGCTGCCTTTTCCCTATGTCTTCATATGGCCTTTTCTCTGTGTACATAAAGGAAAGAGAGAGATTGAGAGAGGGGAGGGATGGAGGAGAGAAGAGGTGGGAAGAATGGAGAGAGGGAGGAGAGGAGAGAGGGAGAGATCTCAGCTGTCTCTCATAAGGATATCAGTTCTATCACATTAGGGCTCTGCCCTTATGATTTCATTTAACCATAATTACCTCCATGAAGGCCTCATCTCCAAACGAAATCACATTGAGAGAGCTTTAACATTTGAACTTGAGGGAACACAATTCAGCCTGTAACACTAGAGCCAGATGGGAACTTTCAGCTAAAAAGCCTGTTTATTGGCTATGAGAATTGCCTGAGGAAGCCCATGTGCCATGTGCAACACCTGCACAGGGCTCCGCATGTTCTTCCTTCCTCCTGTTTTTCCTGTTAACTGTCAATATAAGATAAGGTAGTTGAGAATTGAGTTAGCGTAAAGGCCTGGGGTTGTGTTGGCGTGGTGGGCACCGAGCAGAGCTTCTGAGGGGTCCAGTGTAGGCTGAGAGCTGGGTGGAACTTGCTGCTGAGCTTCAGAGAATCAGCAACCTGGCAGTAGCCATGACTGAGCCTGGCGTAAGCATCTGTGAGTGGCCAGCTGAAATCACTTCTGCGGCAGGTGCAGTGAGGTGGAGGCTGATGCTCAAAGACCACGGGAGATGAACCTTGTGCCAAAGGGAGCTGGTAAAGGTCAACGGGGAAGAACACACAGTCCTGGCCTCCCACCCACCCTCCGTCAGCCTCTCCCTGCCCAGATGCCTCCTGGGATGAAGGAAGAATGGTGAGGAAGAAACCTTGAGGGGACAGACCTTTGACCAAAAGGAACTGTTTTAAACTAGAAGAAACCAACTTCCTTTAAACTGGCGGCTTCCCTCCCAGCTGCAGTCCTGCTACCAAGCAAGATGCTTTCATACATCTGAGCCTCAGTGAGTACGTTTGGATTCTAATACATTCATATTTACCAGGCACTTATGATGTCTCAGGCATAGAGCCAAGCATTTATTGGATTTTAAAATGTGTTGGTTTAAAACTAATAACAAGGACAAGCATTTCAGAAAATACTGATACGTCAATGTTCAGCTTAGTGAATTGCTGTAAAATGAGCACTGGTGTCAGAGGTTCCCCTAAGAGTTGTGTGGCCCGGTTGTGGCTCCACACAGCTTAAACTCCTCCTCGCCCCGCGTCTGTCCTATACTGTGCAAGGCCTCACGATCCATATCTGTAGTATACTCCCAGCCCTCAAGTTCGAGATGCGTTTCCATGCCCTTCAAACAGCCTCCTTTAAGACAGCCCTTGGGACTTGAGTTGCAAACTGGGAGTGTGGTCTTCCCTCAGGAGGCTGGTCTGGAAGACGTGGAAGCAGGCTCAGGTTGCTCAGGCAGGGTTCCGGGAGCCTGATGCCTGGTCTCAGGTGGGGGCATGGGCTCCTGGGTGGCATGGCAGTTGTCCCCTATGGACCCTTTGCTCCGTGGAGGAAGGTGCGGACAGAGGAAGGTCACAGCACAGTCCTCTAAAGTACAGGGCCGAGGGCAGTGTCCTTGGTTGCTCATGTCCAAGAGTGGCCCCTATGCCAGCATTCCTCCTGAAAGAAACAAGGCCAACTCTTCAAGTCATCTTTCAGGACCTTGGGCCAAAAGGAAGCTCTTCTGAAACCTCTAGTTTCATGTCCTGATGGAGACACCATTGACTGTGCACATATGGTGTGTCAGGTGCTTCCAGACACCTTGTTTAATCCTGGGAGGCAAGTGTTATCACCCCAAAGTCAGAGATGAGGAAACGGAGGCTCAGGAAAGTGCTGTGAATCACCCAAGGTGGTATAGCTAGAAAGTGTCAGATCAGGGATGCTATGGAGCAGATTGGAGCCCTTCTCTAAGTCAGTGAAATTAAAATCCGATGCTCGGCAGTGGCGGAGGGCCTGGTTTCGGTATTTTTATAAGCCCCCCAGGTGATTCTAATGTGCACTCAGGGCTGCCACCGACTCTTTAAAATCGTACACCATTCTTGTCATTGATTGAGACAGGCAGACTTAGGATAGTGTTTTGAATGACAGCTGAGCTTTTCTGTGGCGCCTGTTGGTACCTGAGGCCTCTGGGACAGCACAGGATGCTCCCCCAGATTCCAAAGAGAAGGAGGGTTGAAGCCAGTGCCAGAAAAAGTTATTGATGTACTGCGTGCAGATCATGTTAGGAGCTCAGCTGGGCTGGGAGAGAGCCCCGAGCTGCCAGGTGTCAGAGCAGCTCAGAAAGCAAGGAGCTAAAAATGAAGGCATTAAGTGTTTACTGGTGGCCCCGGCTTACAGTGGTGCGACTTATGATTTTTCAACTTTACAGTGGTGCAAAAGTGATACATATTTAGTAGAAACCGTACTTCGAATTCCAAATATTGATCTTTTCCCCAGCTAGAGATAAGTGGGCGCAGTATTCTCTCGCGATGCTGGCAGCAGCCCTGAGGTCACAAGAGTAAACAACCGGTACTCTGCAGTGTGCGGCATTTCCTGCGCTTTGTTTGGATATTGTGTTTTCCCGTCCCATCACGTCTGCAAAAGGCCTGTCTGCGCTAGGTCACGTTCAGCTGTGCGTGTTTATAGTGAATCCCCATGCAACCATTCTGGTTTTCGTTTTCAGCACGGTATTCAATAATACCCAAAATGTTCAACCCTTTATTATACAGTCGGTTTCGTGTTCGATGACTCTGCCCAGCTGTAGGTGATGGCGTTCAGCTGTGCGCGTTTATGGTGAATCCCCATGCAACCATTCTGGTTTTCATTTTCAGCACGGTATTCAATATTTATTATACAGTCGGCTTCGTGTTCGATGACTCTGCCCAGCTGTAGGTGATGTGAGTGTCCTGAGCACGGTTCAGGCAAGCTTAGCTAAGCTAGGATGCTCGGTAGGTTCGGTGTGTTACATGCATTTTCAACTTTGATATCTTTAACTTCTGATGGGTTTGTAGGGATGAAACCCCATGGTAAGTAGAGGAGCATCTGTACTTATTGCCATGGAATCAGCAAGAAGCTAAAACTGGAGAAAATGCCGACTCCCCGTTTTATTTCCCTCATGGAATGGGGCTCACTAGTTAAGGGTCGGAGCGATCAGAGCTATGTGGGGGCCAGCTCACTGTTGAGGGCACCCCAAATAAAAGGCTCTGGCATCTTATGGCCCCTGAGGTGGGTGGTGCAGGGACGGGGCTAGGAGTGGGAAAGTTCTGAGTACTGAGTCAAAGCGGGGAAAAGCGTCTTCAAGGTCCCCACTCTTCCCTTCAGAATGAGACAGAAGTGCCTGAAAGAGACCTCTGTCTAAGGCCTCAGATAAGGGGACCAAGAAATGGAGGTGGTGGATGAGAATGTACATTACCGTCCTGGGTCCTGAGTCCAGTGTGGGGGGGACAGTTTCCCCATGAGGTGTGCCACGTAAAGCCTTTGCGATCATCTCTGTTCGGGCCTGAAAGACTGCACATCAGTTTTCAGTCATGAGCTGGGCTCCACAATGTTCATCTCCTCATCCAGACTCTAGGTAGGATTCTCAATACTTAAGTTGGTTTGAAGGGGCTTTTGTGTTTCTCAAGCAAAAACATTTACAAAATTTTGCCTTTTTATTTTTCTTTTATTTCTCGTGTTTGTCGTTTCCCCTCCGTGGTGGCCACCAAGCCCCGCATTGGCTATGGCTCCAGGTCCACTGTCCTTCGGGCACTTCTCTACCCAGTGCCTCCAGAGGCACTCAGGTGTCTGGAAGCATCACTCAGGAATTCTGGCTGTGTGCAGTAGCCGTTGTGCCTGACAGAATGTTCTGTCTCTGCCACATAATCAAGATTTCTGAGGAAGAAACCGGCAGTAGTTTTTATGGAGAACATTGTGTTTCTCATCTTTTTGTGTGATTTTAATCTTCTCCCACCCAAACCTCTTTCTTCCCCACTTATTTGTCCACCTCACTGCCTTTAGGAACCCCAAATCCAAGCCCACGAGGGCTCCCAACCCCTTTTGGTGCACCATCTCTGCACCCGCCCTCTGCTCTCTGCCCATGTCCTCTCGTCCCTCCTTGCCTGGCTAAGATTTCACGGTCCATCGTTATAGTCACTTCCTTGCTTAATTCTTTGCCCTTCTTGCCTTCATTTCTGCTCACAAACTGGCCAATTCTCTTAATCCAATTGTGTCTCGGAGTAAATTATTAAATGGAAACTAAGCCACCAATACATGCTACTAACACTCCATTTTCCTAAGACCACAAGTTCATTGTTAAGTTATCAGGTGACCAAAGTTTCTCTTCTTTATAACATGAACGACCAGCCTCTGTCCTTTGACAGAGGGTTCTCTGCCACCTGCTGCCAGCCCCTAGTCCACTGCCGCGTATTTTAGGTTTCTGTTCTCCAGCAGCATTCCATTTCTGGTCCCACCTTCTATGTCGGTTGGGATTGGTATGTCAGATGGGATAACGTTGTGGAAACAAACCCCAAAACTCTGCCCAAATGAAGAGTTTGTTTTCTTCCTCACACTACAGTACCTTCAGTATTTTGAGGGAGAGGGGCCTCTGTTAATTTTAGTCACTTAGAGATCTGAGCTATCAGCGCAGCCACCATCTCGAATGCTGCTGGCTGTGATAGTAAAGGGGAGATGGCCTGGAACATCTCAAACGGGTGACTGAGTGTGCCGGTCGAGAAGTGGCACTCATCATGTCCAGTCACGGCTCACTGGTTGGCCAGAACTAGGCCTATGAACCTGCTTGACCACAAGGGGGCCAGGAAGTGAGCTCCTCTTACGTGTCTGAGAGGGAATTCTGACCTCTGCTGAGCATTAGGGTGACAGGTGACCGCGGGAGGGTCTGTTGTCAGCCTTATTCTGCATGTGGCGAGGCGCACGAAAGTTAAGTATACCTGAACGTATGCCTTTAAGTCAGAGCAAGATTGGAACCCTGCTTTAAAAAAATTATATATATATTTTAAATCAAGGTATAATTGACATACAGCATTATATTAGTTTTAGGTGCACAACACGATTCGCTTTTCAGAATACTTGCTTTTAACCACTGCTCTACACTGCCTCTCAAGACATCAGGAAATATGTAGATTTTTACCTTCTTGTTATTGTCACGTAACTTGATTGCGATGTGCATAGAGAATGTGGTCTTTTTAAAAAATGTACTGAGTCTTACTCTATGATCTTGCACCTGATCAACTTTCGTAAATGCCCCGCATGTGCTTGAGAAGAACGTGTGCTCTCATTGCTGGATGCAAAAGTCAATGGATGTCCATTAGGTCAAGCTTAACTGTGGTGTTCAAACTTATATTTCGTTGTTTTTGTTTGTTTGTTTGCTTGAGCTATCAATGATTGAGAGAGGTGCCGAGATCTCCCGCTGCAATGGTACTTTCATGCCTGAAAGTTTCATCAATGTTAACTGTATTTCCTGGCTATTTTATTACTTGCATATATATTTTATTGGGTTTTTTTTTTTTTTGGTTAATTGAAATTTTCGTGATTATGTAATGACCCTATTTCTTTTTATACTTTTTATTTTTCAGTTATAGTTGGCATACAATATATTTGTTTCAGGTGCACAACGTAGTGATTAGACATTTATATACTTCACTAAGTGATCACCCTGATAAGTCCAGTACCCATCTGACACCGTACATAGTTATTACAGTATTATCGACTATATTCCTTACACTGTACATTACATCTCCATGACTGTTTTGTAACTACCAACTTGTACTTCCTAATCCCTTTTCCCTTTTTGACTACCCCCAATCCCCTTCCCATCTGGTAACCCTCAAAATGGTCTCTGTATCTGAGTTTGTTTGTTTTGTTTATTCTTTAGATTCCACATGTGAGTAGAATCATATGGCATTTGGTAATGACCTTATTTCTGATAATGGCTTTTATGTTCAGGATTATTTTGCTCATCTTAGTATGGGTACATAGGGTTTCTTTTGCTGTTTGCGCGATCTGTTTTTACCCCTTCGATTTCAAAGTGTCCAGGTCCTTTTACTTTTGTTAACATTTGTTATTAAAAGCATATAGATTTTTTTCTTTTAAAGCCAATCGCCTTGAATTGGCAAGTTTAATCCATTATGATGAGAAAAAGCACTTAGACACCAGAATATAGAGATACTGAATTTTTTTCTATCTTTTTTTCATGTAACTTATAGTTCTGCTTTTTCTCTATTGATTGTTCTTTCTTGCTTGGATATTATAACCTAATCATTTTTTATTTATTTGAATAACATTCTGGTGCCAAATGCTACTTGCCCAAGAGTGAGAGGGTGTTTGTTTTTAAGCACTGGCATGAGTGAGAATTAGGGTTGAGCTTTGGTTCTGCTGATACCTTGCTCTGTGACCTAGGGCAATTCGACTTCTCTGAGCTTTTATTTCTCTCCGTAAAATCCTGAGTTTGAATCAACAGTCTGTGAGATTCCTTCTAACTCTTGGATTCTCTGTTCCATCACTTGAGTAGTCACTGGCTAGTGGTCTGTGAAAAGATCCTAGGGCATCTCTGATCTAAAATTTCCTCTTAGGCTAGGAGTTGTTCCCCCCGCCCCCCAGCCTTATTGAGATAAGAGCCTCTTTAAGATTCCAGATGGTCTTCCTTTCTTCACAGAATTGGGAAGATTTCAGACTAAAGTAGCATTATGAAAAGGGACCCAAGAAAAATGTCAATAATTTAGTTTTACTTACTTGTCCAGAATTGGTTGAATTATAAACTTCATAATTTGGATCAAGAGGAGGATTTGGCTGTGATGACACAGTGAGTGGTTATTTTGTATCTTTTTTTAAAAAAAGATTTAGGTGTAACTGATACACAATGAACTGCACTTATTTAAAAAAGACAACTTGAGTTTTGACATAGGTATATACCTGTGAACCTATCACCAGTTAAGATATGGACATAGCCATCACCCCCACAAGCTTCCTCCCGACCCTTGCTAATCCCTGTCTCCTTCCAGTCCCTGGACCCACACAGCATAGTGAGTTTTTTCAACACTGGATACTGAAACAACTGGATGAGGATGGGATGGAGTTAACTAGGATGGAGGCTAAGGGAACTTTTTGGAATGATGGAAGTATCTTGGGAGTGGTGATTAGATGGGTGTATAAATTTATCAAACTTATTTACGTTATTGTACTTAAATCATGCCTCAATAAAGTCGAATGTAAGTAAACAGGTCCAAAAACAAAAGTAAACAGAAGTCAGAGTAGTTCCAAATGCACTGAATTTTTTGAAGTATTAGGATTGTGTGAAGTATTAGTTTTCTGAAAACCGGAAGAGCTATCCTAAGATATCTGAAAACATGAGGTATCAGGATTTTTTATTCACTGTTACAACACCAAAAAAAATCCCCCGACATAATATATATTCACCTTTCCAAGTTCAGGACCTGAACTTAATATGAAAATTATTCACTTTTTGCGGCCGGGGTGGGGGGGGAGGGGATCAAGAGTAGCTGACTCCAAACTCTTGCTAGAGAAAAATGAACAAGTTGGGATCTTCACTCCCCCAAACCACATCTTCATGGCTTTGGTAATCTTTGTTACTATTTCCAGACACTGAAGTTTCTGTTTATAAAGCCTTGGCTGGAAATTAGCACTTATTTACCAAAATGTCTAATCAACTGCAGTTCTCGGGGTATACTATTAACCTCTGAGAAAAGCAACATTAAAAAGTATCAGTTTTTATGTAACGGAGGAGGTAAGGTCCCCAGTCAGGTTTTCCAAGTTTATTTTAGGAAAAAAAATAAAAACATCTTTAAAACCCAGAAGCATAGAAATATCTTAAAATAAGAATCTATAAAGCTTTTAGCATAGGAAGTGATCAGTAAGACTTTAGATGCCGAAATATTAACAATATTTGCTCAATACACAGTACACATGTGAACAGAAGAGACATCTTGCTTTCAAAAATTTATATAGCTCTGAGTATAGAATCCAATACACACCGCTTTTCCTTCCTGGAGTGTTTATTTTGAATGAAGCTTTCAGATACACTCATGTGTGGCCCTGAACTGCTTTTGCTCTTCAGTACCTTTGGAGAGCTCACTACACCTCACTCTATTATTTCCACACCAGACTCATCATTTTCTCCCTTGTCAGTCTCACACTTTTTTCATCTTAGTTCCTGCTTACTGGATTTATTTTTAAATAGAAAGAGTATGTGCCTCACACGGTAGTCTTCATGTTTTCACCCACTCCTGTGCGCATGATGTCTAAGCAATTATACAATTGGAAAGCATGAAGTCAATTTTCCCATTTAATTCCTCACATATTAAGAAAAATTATTGAAGCTTTTTAAAAAAGCAAACCTAACGGGCATTGCTAATTAAAAATAAAATTTTGATTCAGAAGAACTAACATGTGTGCTTTCTAATGTGGAGAGGAAGGTGGTAAAAGACTACTTCGATCTGACACAGACCAGATAGATTACACTTTCTCTACAATTAATTCGCCCAGATGTTTATTGAATGCCTTCTCTGGGCCAAGTACTGGGGGTACAGAGGCGAACAAGGCTGTACAAAGTCCTTTTTCTTGGAATTTACATTCTTCTGTAACTAATTTCAGTGAAACTTTAATCAGAGCGGAAATGTGGGAGTATAATACATAAAATAAAAAATAAAAAGGTACACATAGTAAACAACTTAGAGAATTTATTTGTAAAGTAGGAAATAAAAAGCATGATCTTAACATTTTAGAATACGAACAAAACTAGAAAAAGTTAAACTACAGAAAAGGCGGCAAAGAGGACTGAAGTTGGCTTAATGGCCGAACAGTACAAACCAGCAAAACCCAAGTTTCTTTCATGCAAATGAGCATCGAGGGAGAGTACAATAATGTTGGCAGAACAGGCCACAACGAATATTTTTTAAATTTACATAAGAAACTGTACATAAATGAAAAAATAAATTAGACAATTTACAAGAAACATTTTATAGGTTACAAAAGGTTATAACTTAGTTTATTATGAATAAAATTTGTAGCACATCATACATTTTTACATCACGGATTCAGTGTTAGAAAAATTCCAACATGACAAAGCTCAGACTCGACAAGAACAATGCGATAGATAGAATAAGGCAACTTAAATTGAAAGGCTTACATAAGTAAAATTAACACACAGATCTATGTATGATTTGGTCAATAACTTGGCAGAATTAAGACAAATGCCATTCAACTTCAGTTTCACTGTAGTTCAAATAAAAAGGGAAAGCAAACGATGTATTAAAAAAATGATAAAACCATCTTAACATGATTTACATCCTAATTCCATTAATTATATTTGGGAAAGGAGACTAGGGTATTGATGTCAGTCCTATAAAGTTATCTTCTGTTTCTAAATGTTGTAAACTAACAAGAGTACCTCAGAAAAAAGTGAAAAATTTCAAAATGGCTTGATATCTGCGACAACTATAGACTGTGCGGGCATACTATCCATGATTCAGAGATACGATATAAGGCTAAAATAATCTCAAACTATTTGCATTATTTATGTATACTTTACAAATTATGTTAAATGCTGATATGTTTCCTTTGAAAGCTACTGGAACTATGAAGTACTGCAGTATATGAAAGATGTTAAGAAATCGCAAAAAAAAAAAGCGCTATCTTAGCATTGAAATTTAGTTGCATATTTATACAATTCAAAAATTTGAATTTTAATTTCATTCACTCCTTTGAAAAATACATTCCCTATTCTTTTAAACATAAAATTAGTGGCAGCTGAGGCAAAAAGACTGAAAATCTAAATGAAAAGTAATCTTTGACTATGGAACGAACCAGAATGTAAAGATTTTGATTTCTTTCTTAAAGAGAAAAAAAATTGATTTCCTCTTACACATCATTCAGCACTAACTATGGTTCCTAAAGTCCCAGCATCAACTCGCTTCTACATTTATTTTAAACAGTACACTGAGAATGTCAGACACATGTCCAATCTGATTATTCTCAGACAATCCTAAGGATAAAAGTATTTTAGGTCTTCATTATATTTGAAGTAGATGACTATAACCCATAATATTTCAACTTATTTGTAGGTAATTAAAATTGTGTTTTATAAATTCCACTATGAATTGTGTTTGACAAAAGCAATAAATAATTCCAGGAGGGGTTTATGCCACAACTGTCTCCACTCACAATGTTCAGAAATAAACAGCTTAAAAGGGCCAACAAAAAAAATCCCCAGTAGTCTACAGCCAGGCCACCCAGAATGCACCCGATCTCATCTCGGAGGTTAAGCAGGGTCGGGCCTGGTTAGTACTTGGATGGGACACCACCTAGGAAGACCAGGTGCTGTAAGCGTTAAAAAAAAAAAAAATCCCCAGTACATCTAATATTCAAACATCTATGGATTTAGTGGGATGTTTCTTTTTATGATGGAAATGTTTTATATATATGATGCCCATATAATTTTGAAGTTAACACAATAAAAATTCCAGATATCTTTAGACTGAAGTACACATACTTTATAAAACCCTCCATAGTACTTTAAGGTTTATCTACTTGCAGGCAATAGTATATTGCAGGCAATAGCTTAATATTATGAGAGAATAATGTTAACATTACATAGAATTCTACTGGTTTGGTGAGAATTCAAAATCTAGTACCTATAAACATACGAATAAAATAAATTCCAAAACATGTTGCCAGTCTCTGAACAAACTGTTCTCATCGTTCCAAATGCTGCCATGTAAGAAGCAAATAAGTGTCCTTCTCAAGATCCCGATAACTGATGACTACTGTAACAAGTCAATTTCGTCATTTTACAAATAAGGTAACATTCAAAGAAGTTAGACCAGCCACCGGTGCTATTTCTAATACAATATGAAATCAGGATCTCATGTCCACTGACCATACGAGCCAGATAACGCAGCAAACAGTAGGTACTGCTTTAAGATGATGTGAACTCTTTGGAAGTAGAAATAACTCAAAATTTCCATACTCGAAATTTAGATATGGATAAAAAACTGATGACTTTTCACACCACAATTTTTTTTAATAGGCTACTATAATACTTTAAAAGATTATCTGAAGATAGAAAAAAAATTAGCTGAATTCCTTCCGTACCAGAATAATAACACAGTAAAATAAACTTACTGAGAAAATAGGACATTATACACATTTCATGGCAAATTATCTTAAACAGGTCAAAGAGTATTATTAAAAAAGGCAACATATTTCTAGAATTTTGTTCAGACATATCACAAAACAGTAAGTTAAATGCAAAAGAATGTACCCACATTTTTCTGGCTATTATTTTCAGTTTTTACATGGCTTTAAAGGAGATTTTCTAAACTATAGTCTCAAATGCAATAGACTGAAAAGCACTGAGCGTTCAACCAGAAAAAAAAATTGACACACTAAACAAAATATGAAAAACTTTGTATATAAGTGGTTACGAAAGACATTTGGAAGCTATCGCCTTTCTAAGCTTTCCGCCCAAGAATGCAACCTTAGAAATCAAGGCAAGGTGTGATGGTCTGCTCTTACGAGGAAAGGGGACTGCTGGACACAGCGGCCAACACCTCCCCGTCAGCTGCCATCACTGTGCTTGCAGAAACGAAAACTTTCAGGAACCAGTACTTCCAATATGACAATCATGCAAGGGCAAAACCTCAGGAATCTTTACAGTCTAATATTTGGCAAATATTCTGAACCTCAGGAAAGACTGTCGATTGCCATGTATATTATTGGCAATGGCACTGACTTCGCCCAAACTCAGAGTCCACCTTTGTTTAGAGTAGCTGAGCCAAGGAATCGCCTGTGTCGATAGGTGGCTGAGTTACTAATACTTTGTCTTTGGAGAAGTCGGGACGCAGAACTAAAAGCCATTAGTTTAAGTCTCTGGTTACAAAAGGCAATCTTTTTTGGGGAGTGGTAGTGGTGTAAAGTTCTTGACCTTGTGTTTTTTTATCAAGCCCCAAAATAAATGGATAGTGCTCCCTGTACTGAAAATTTTATCAGAATTTTTAAGGAATGAAAATTAAATCCGAAAGTTATAAAGAACATTCTCTTGTGTGTACATAACTTAATGAAGAATTAAAAGAGACTCTTCAATCCTTTACAATTGGCTTCTCAAAGTTAGATAAGGTGGGGGGAAAGCTAAGTCACTGGAATGATCAAATTTGCTTCAGTGAAGGAAATACGTATTTTGGAGATTGTGAGAATGTGATGTCTTGGGCAATTTTATCAGTATCATTGGAAAAAATGATACATACTATGATGAGATGGCAGGATGCAATATAAACTATTTTTGGAACAGTCAGAAATACAGCTTGTCTGTGTAAAATAAACTAGCCCAATCTATGCTACTTCCTATCTCCCTTTATTTAAAAACTAAGGTTCCCCTCAAACATTCTTTTAAAAGCCCATATTCATGAAGTTTTAATGGACACGATAGTGTTCATTTTTAAGAGCCAGTTCTAAAATTGCACTAATATAATAGCCACTACCCAAATGTGGCTACTGAGGACTTGAAATGTGGTCTAAATTGAGATGTGCTCTAAGTGTAAAATACAAACTGTTTTTGAAGACTAAATACAAGCAACCAAAACGTAAAATATCTCCTCAACAACTTTTAATATTACATACTGAAATAACATAGGATAGACTGCATTAAACAAAAATATATAATGCATTTCACCTATTTATTTTTTACTTTTTAAATGTGCCTGCTAGAAAATGTAAAATTACGTGTGGCTCGCATTTTAGTTCTATTAGCACTACTCAAGAACATAGGACTTTGTGGCATTATGTCGATCGGGAGTAGAACCAAACCTACTGACCACTGTTGCTTACAGGGAATTTAAGATCATAATCGAAAAACAGAATCTCGGAAGCCTCCATCATAACCGTTACCACTTCAGCAGTCCCGGATTATGCACGAGAAGAGCTAAGCGCCAAGAGTGGCGAGGTGGTACCCACTTAATGTGCGTTTTAACAGGTACCTGCAGTTTCCAAGGGCAAAAATTATCAATCATGGTCCCAAATTAACCAAAGTATTGATCAAATTAACTTATATAAACTTTGATCATTCCATTTCTTTCTGAAAGACTGCCCCAAACCTATAGCTGCTAATGTACAGTTTGTCACAGGAATGTAACTTGAAGTTACTGTTGTTTAAAAATAAAAATTTTGTACAGATGCCTAAATCATAAACTTTTTAAATAAATTGAACAGGTGGCTTTTGGCTGATGTATCTAGTCACTACAATGGCAATATTAAAATAAGACACATTTAGTCATTGTAGGTTTTCAAAGTGACTACCAACTGACATGAATTCGAAGGACCAAATATTCTAAATTCTAAAAAAATTACTTTAACATACTTTCCCCTCTATATATTCACTCCTATTGTTCATGTTCATGTCTTTAAATAAAGAAAACTGAATTTTAAGTATTTGAGCACAAAATCTGAAACTACAAGGAGAAATGTCTTTAACAAGCACCTGTTGATAGTCTACTGACAACTGTTCTCTATGGAGCAAAACTGTGTTCCATAAAAACACACGGTAATACTTCTTTCTGTAATGCAAAGAAGTTTTAAGCTCTTTAAAGCACATCCAGATTTCCTGGTAGTTTAAGGAGACAAGTATTTTCCCCAAGTCTCTCTACTTCATACATCGTAAGAATCTCAAACAACTTCACTGGACTTTTGGACCTCCAAAATGTCACTGCCAAAGTAAAATCTGAATTTATAACATTATAAAAAATGATTCCAAATACAGAACCAATTCCAAGGCAAAGGGATTTACAAATTCTGGAACTATAATTCTTTTATCACCAGAATGTACAAAACACTGATCCTTTTATAATTCTGCAGTACTGCCTCAGAATCCTAAGTTTCAGAACAACTCATCTTTTAGATTTCTCTAACATCCATTTGGAATAAATGTGATTTTGTTGCTGTTCATGATAGAAATAAATCTTTAGCACTGATGGTTCAGATCGAATTAAACAGAAACAACTGAGTCTGGGCCGGAGGCAGACGTGATGCAGGGCGAGCGTGGAACTCTGCCGGGGCTCAAACCACGCTCCACAGGAACAGTCCTGGCATCTCACTGCGTGGACTCTCAAAGAAGTAATTAAGTCTCCAATTAAAAAATAGTCAACATTTTAAAATGGATTGACTAATAAAATACAGAAAGTGCAATGTCACCAAGTGTGTGCATTTTCTAGGATTCATTGAAAATTCAGGCTAATATTTAACAACAGTATTTCAATTATGGCATTTGAAAAAAGTTGTACTTCTGGAGAAAGATCACATAAATGTGCTTTTTTGGGGGGTATATTAAGAAAATTACAATAATGAATAATATTGCCTAACATTTCTAAAATCCCATGATGACCATCTTTGATTGCCATTTCAATTAATTTTGGTACAGGGGTTGTTACTGTCTGCTTTCTAGTAACCAAAACGCACGTAGAACAGATTTGTAACAAATATTCAGAATCAATTATTTTCAAGACCTAAACACTTCTGAGGCATTTTAGATTTGTGTTTGAGCATACAGTACTGCAATATTGGCTACATAAAATAAATAGAAAAATTTTTTTGAGAGAAAGCTCAATTATCAGAGGCTGTATTGCATTTAAAGATTTAACACTGGCTATATACAGGAGGGAAAGCATTTCAGTCGGAAATACTTCACCTGTTACCCAGTCCTCCCTTTCTCTATGGCAACATTTAGCAGCTTACCACTTTGACATTTAAAAATCAACAGGAATAGGGTTACTCTTTTCTTCCTTTGGTTCCCAGTGACAAATAATCCAATAATAACGCCTCTGGTTTTCAGTTCCTCTTGGATGATGTTTATTAGCAGAGACAAACCTGATGCTTTAGCTGAAATTTGGCAGCCCGAGAAGCGCACCGACTGCTCCAAAATATCCCTGTATAATTTAAAAATAATTAATGTAGCTTTTAAATTAGCACACAGTATTAACCGCTATTAAGAAGACGTATTTACATTATAATCTTTTTAAGAATATCTAGTCAGAAATCTATGACTTTCCGTGTTGTTAGTTACTGTAACGAGTTTTTCAAACTGTATTCTCAAAATGTACACCTTTGAAATACCATTTTTAAAGTGTGGGCTATCATGATTCTGTGCCCCTCCCCCCTTTCCTCAGTAAACTTCCTGTGGCTCCACCTGCCACTGCCACAGCGTGCTCCACGCTGGGCGGAGCTGCCCCAGAGCGCACCTTTCCGCCCTGTGCAGTGAGAGCAGCGGCAGTGACACGTGGACACTCAGAACAAACCCTGTGCCTGTGTCAGGAGACTCCATTTATCCGGGTGACCAGGAACAAAATAATTCAAGGTAAATTTACTCAATCTAAAACATGCGAACTGATCCTTGCTTCGATCAGAATTTAACTAGATGTAGTGAATAAATATGCAAAAAAAATCTGGAAGAATAAACTCCAAAATGTTAACTGTACCTCTAGAAGTGGAGGTGAGGTTGTGGTGGGAAGATTAAGGAGAATTTTCATTGCTAAATTATACATTTTTGTACTGTTCACATTTAACATTCGTTATCTCAGAGGAGAAGAAAAATAAAACAGTGAAACAAAATAAATCACCCACTATGTACACCAGCACCCCCAGTATTTAAGGAGTTCACAGACCTGGTAAGAACTGTGAAGCTCTCATCTTAGTGGGGTGCTTTCCAGGTTACAGTAAACCCTACCCCCCCAACTCAAAATGAGGGAGTCAGTATACTACTTAGATAAATTGTAGTTTTATGCTTTGCTTATAAATACAGAGCAAGAAGCAATATATGGAATCTGCATATAAAAGCATGCTATTAAAAGTCACAAACATTTTCCTGTCATACCTCATGCTCTAGGAACAATGCTTTCAGTTGACCTTTTGACCAGTAATCCAGTGCATATGCCAAAAGTTTCATTGAGAGAGTATTGACACGTAAAAAGTTTCCGACAAAGACAACTCTGTTTATTTTCTACAAGAAAAAAAAAACAAACAAAAATACCCGAAAATAAGAATTATGAAGTAGATTTCATAGTACAAGAGGGTTTACAAAATCTCTATTTAAAAATGTGAACAACTACCTTTCCTTAGTGTCTACTGCATTCCTGGTACATACCTTCATAACCCTGAAAAAAAAATTAGCTACGGACATGTCACAACACATTAGTCAAAACCCAAACAATGCACCCAGAATGAACCCAAATGTAAACGGTGGACTTAGGGTGATGATGCTGTGTCAGTACCCGTTCACTGACTGGGGTGCTGGGTGCAGACGGCAGGGGAGGCTGTGCGTGTGGTGTCGAACTCTCTACCTTCCACTCCTTTTCACTGTGAACCTAAAACTGCTCTGAAAATGAAGTCTATTTTTAGAAAGTTCTGGAAAGACTCTAGTAAATGATTATAGATGAGACTCGTTTTTGAAAATGGCCAAGAAATAATCTATTTAACAAAGTGATCTGGAGAAACATTATTGAGATTAAAGGAAATAAACCAAGGAAGAATATCTTAAATGTGTTTAGGATTAAAAAAAAGCTGTAAACTTGGCCAGCATGTTGCAGCACATGCTCAGCAATGACATGCAACCCGTGGACTTTATATAGAATGGGGGAGTACCACTGAGTGGGGTCCGGGCTTCCAGCATTCTCTGTCCCCAGCCTAACCCATCAAGTCACTCTCTCTGCTAAGATTCCACTCAGTAATTTGGTTCCTTAGGTATCTCTATGATTAGGAAACCTTACACAGAGGAACTGGTGTTTGTATCTCCAGAAAACCTATTTCTACTCTCACAATAATATATTGACTTTGAGTATACATTTTTTCACATTAAATTTGGACAGTGTAAACTATGGGCCTAATTACTGTTAAGACAACTGGCCAGTGAAAGTGTAGATCTACAGGGCTAGGAAAAAAGGTACCAGATTACTGTGAGCCCCCAAAAGTGAAATATTGCCTAAACCTAGGTTAAAATGCCTGCTAGCAGCTCTCTCAACCAACTTACTGCATGGTTATTAAGAAACTAGAAAGAGAAAATTCTGGATTTAAACAGAATAATTCAAAGAATTAATTCAGGTTTTTGCACAGCTGTTCCCTGTATTGGAGTCTCTTTTCCCCCAAATATCTATGTCAGATTCTTTCACTTCCTTCAAATCTTTGGCCAAAGGTCACATTTTCAATAAAGCCTCTGTCAACCAGCCAATTACTTGGCAGTTTGTCCTCTGCCACTCTCCGGTCTAGTCTTAATTCTGTTTGTCTAGTTGATTTCCTCTTTTCAAAAATAGCATTTGTCACCTAACACAAACTGAACGGTTTACTTTCACGACATCACTGGAGTGAGTGGAAGCTCCACAAAGTCAGAGACCACTGTTTTCTTCACTGAGGCCCAGGTGCCTAGAACAATGCTTGGGACATGGTGGTCTTTAAATATTTACTCACTGAATAAGTGAATGAATAAACAACTGAAGAGTTCCTTCAAATAGCAGAATTCTCTATTCAAAGTATTTGATATTTCCAAAAATTAAATGGACAAATATATCTACCACATGAAGGCAGAATTGTAATATATAGTCTCCTTCAAATAAAAATAACCCAACTATTAGATAAATCTAGCAATAGATGCTTTTCAGAAATATACATTATTCAGATGTCACGTGAAGAACCAGTCTCAATGCCTTCATAGCCCTGTACAATGCTGCTTGATCCATATGCAACAAGGCAGCACTGTAAAGAAGCCGAGGGCAGTAAGAAAATTTTCAAGCACTTCACTAATCAAATGCAACATTAACAGAACAATAACAACAACAACAAACCCTACTTTTTTATATCTTCAAGAGATTTAGATTTACAGTCATGTGCCCATAATATTTTGGTCAACAATGAACCGCATCTATGATAGTTGTCCCATATGATTATGGACCAGAAAACTTCCACTGCCTAGTGATGTCATAGCTGTGTCACAGCCATCTTAATGTCACAGCACAACCCATTACTCACGTGTTTGTGGTGATGCTGCACCACCGGTCCGTATAAAACTATAGCACATACAAGTGTGTACAGTGCAGAATACCTGATAATACACAACTATGTTACTGGTTTATTTACTAACTTTCTATTATTTAGAGTGTGGTCTTTCTACTTACATATTAAAATAAGTTTGCAGTAAAACAGTGCCATATTTTGCTGGCAGCACCTTCACACATTTTGTGTTTACCAGGTCTCTTGGTTGCATCACTTTTTCTTGTGATTGATTTAATCTCGTGTCGTTTTGGACAGTAACATGCTGTTCAGGCGTGTAGCCTAGGAGCAGCAGGCTACCTCACACAGCCTAGGTGTGTAGCAGGCTAGACCATCCAGGTTTTTCTATAAGTGCACTTAAGATGTTCACACAACGAAATCACCTAACCACAAATTTTAAGGGGCACATGACTGTATTTCTGAAATGGTGAAATGTAAATATCTACTTGTCCGATTTCCAATTTGTATGCTACTTTCTTTAAAGGTAGTATAACAACTGGGCACATGACACGTATTAATGAACCTTGAGATTTAATGGATTAAGAGGTATTCATCCCACAGGCCTCCTTAGGGAACATGGAGAAGCCCTGCTATATGTACATAAAACTCCAATTCACATTTTTCATATAATTAACTTTTTTACCTCATTAACAGCACACATTCGTGCCACAGAACCAATGTTGTTGGTGATAGTAACCAGAGTTGCTCTCGCTAGATCTTCTTTACTAACAGATTCTCGCTTCTCCTTATAAATCATATTCCCAAAACTGCAGAGAAATGAAAAAACAAAATCAAATTTGATAAAACACATTTCATACATTTTGGGAATTTATCCTACAGATAAATCAACACATATACAAGATTACTCACTGATCCACTGAACTGTACATAGGAAAATACTGCAAACGATTCAGGTATCAAACAATGAAGTACCATGAAGCTGCTAATTACAAGGGAGAGAGGGAGGGGAAGGAGTGAAGGAGTGGAGGGAGGGAGTGGAGGAGGGTAGAGGGAGGGAGGGAGGGGAAGGAGTGAAGGAGTGGAAGGAGGGAGTGGAGGAGGGTAGAGGGAGGCCAGTTTTGATGTTTATTGGCTATGTGACTGGGGTAAGCCCCTTGATGTCTCTGAGGCCTGATTTCTTCATCTCAAAAGCAGGGATCATAACGCTAATGGTGTGTGTGTGGGAGGAGTGGAGGAGGGTAGAGGGAGGGAGGGAGGGAGGGGAAGGAGTGAAGGAGTGGAGGGAGGGAGTGGAGGAGGGTAGCGGGAAGGAGGGAGGGAGGAACATAAGGGAAGAAACGGGGAAGGGGGGGAAGAGAAAGGGAGGCAGGCAGACTAGGCTATACTGCCACCAAAGAGTATATTATATACAGTATGCTATTTAATGCTAGGTAAATGTTATCTATTAAAAGTTACCTTCTAAATAAGGGGAGGATAGGGATATGGATTTGTATTTGCAGAAACACTGAAAGGATACTCAAGAACTAATAAAAATGGTTTCCTATAGGGTGCACTCAGGAAAGCTTCTTACTATCTAATTTTCAAATTACATGAGTGTTCAAACTTTAGAGCCTAAACTGGTAAGAGGAAGCCTACTTACGACTTTTTGAAATATTGAACGGTTTCTAAAAACTAGGTTAGTTTCAGGTGTACAACACAGTGCTTGGACATTTATATAGCTTACGAAGCGAAGCGATGACCCCTGTGAGTCTAGTATCCATCTGACACCACAGTTGTTACATTATTGACTACATTCCATCCCTGTGACTTTTTATATCTGGCAATTTGTACATCTCAATGCCTGCCTTTTTTTATCCATCCCTTCAAACCCACGTCCATCTGGCAACTCTCAGTTCTCTGTCATCTATGAGTTTGTTTCTGCTTTGTTCATTTTGTTTTTAGATTCCACATGTAAGTGAAATCATATGGTATTTGTTTCTCTCTCTCTGACTTATTTCACTTAGCATCATGCCCTCTAGGTCTAGCCATTTTGTCACAAATGGGAGGGTTTCGTTCTTTTTTTTATGGCCAAGTAACATTCCATTGTTATATATGTACAACTTTATCCAGTCGTCTATTGATGGGACACTTAGCTTGTTTCCGTATCTTGGCTATTGTAAATAATGCTGCAGTGAACATATGGATGCAGATGTCTTTTTGAATTAGTGTTTTGGATTTCTTTGGATAAATACCCAGAAATGAGATTGCTAGGTCATATGGTAGTTCTATTTTTAATTTTTTGAGGAACCTCCATACTGCTTTCCATAGTGGCTGCACCGATTTGCAATCCCACCAACAGTGTATGAAGAAGGTTCCTTTTTCTCCACATCTTCGCCAACACTAGTTTGTGGATTTATTGATGATGGCCATTCTGACAGATGTGAGGTGCTACCTCATTGAAGTTTTCATTTGCCTCTCTCTGATGACTAGTGATGTTGAGCATTTTTTCATACGTCTATTGGCCATCTGTATGTCATCTTTAGAGAAATGTCCATTCAGGTCCTCTGCCTATTTTTTAATCTGATTGTTTTTGTGTGTGTATGTGTAAGTTATATGAGTACCTTATATATTTTGGATATAAATAAGCAACTTTAATTACAACATAAATGTGAAACTTACCTAGATGCTACAGCCCAACCCGGCAGACCAAATCTTTCATAATCTCCTCCATAAATATCACGGACCAGCTTGTCAGCTTGGGTACTGTCACCTTTGGCTGCCATTTCAAGAGCCTCTTCAAAACTTTCACAGCCAGTCAATAAACAGCATAAGCCCAGAAAGGTACCCCCTCCAAGACTAAAGAAAACAAAGAAATTTGATGAGCTATACTTACACACTGTATTCTTTCTCCAAAGTAAAAGGGTGGAGCATTTATTTATTCAATAAATATACAGAAAGAATATATTGCTAATGCTAAGAGCTGAAATATTAACATATTGAGGAAAGGTAAAAAATGTTTATTAGCAAAACCGAACTTATAAGAAAGAATAAACCAAAGGAAAAAAGTTACTTGGTAGAAACAACGTGAAGACAGGAGGAGGACTTTCTATCCTCCCATGTCTTCATTTGATACTTTATACTTTGCAATTGCTGAAGATATGTTTTTGTGTGCATGAAAAAGGACTGTTAAAATTAGTACCATGTGAATTAAAAGGAGAAAACTCATAAAATGGTTTCTAGGAAATGATTTTGTGAGAAGCCAATTTACTTGAATACAGTGAAGAAATTTACGTCACGCCGGTCATCATGTTAATGGCAGAAATTGGTTCTATTATTCTTTTGGATATGCTCACAAAACGAAATGTCTAACTCCTAAAATCAAAACTTTTGCTCCCTAGTCTCACCTAAATGTCTAACAGCTTCTGTCCTTGAATCACTGTTGGAATGTAGGTAACAGGCTGAATTTCTTTTAGATTTTTGATTTAAATAACAGTAGTCCCCCTCTTATCTGTGGGGGTTACGTCCCAAGACCTCTAGTAAATGCCTGAAACTGCGGATAGTAATGAACCATGTTTCCTTCCTATGTATACATATACCTATGATAAACTTTAATTTATAAACTAGGCACAGTAAGAGATTAACAATAACAAATAATAAAATAAAACTATTACAACAATATATTGTAATAAAAGATGTGACTGTGGTCCTCATTTCAGTGCTTTCTGGCCTAACACGCTGCCATCAATCAGGACGCGTTTCTGTTCACATCTCCCACCCGCAAATTAATGCCTTTTCCATATTAACGAAGCACTTACCACATATTCTGCCTGTAACTTTTGCGGTTTGAGGTGTGACAGCAAAACTAGCATGTTACTTTTTTTCTTCTTCACACAGAAAATTTGTTCTTATCATAGATCTTAGGAATCTCACCATACAATTTTTCTTCTTTCCTTATTAAGAATGTTCACCTTTTCAGTTAAAGGAAGAACTTTAATGCTTTTTCGTGGCATATCCAAATTGCCAGCATCACTACTCTTGTGCTTTGGGACCATTATTATTGAAATGAGTTACTTGAATACAAGCACTACACTGCTGTAAAATCAGTCTGCAACTCATGGGCAGGGAGCATACGTAGCATAGAGACACTGGACACGGGGATGTTTCGCAGGCAGGACAAAGGCCAGCATGGAGACTTCGTCACACTACTCAGAACGGCATGCAATCTCAAACTTATAAACTGTTCATTTCAGGAAATTGCAATTAAATAGGAGTCTCCACCCTCTTAAAAGTTTAAAGTACACATAAGAATCGTAAGAAAAATTTAAAAATCTCACTTCACATCCATGTTTCAGATAGTATAGAAAATTTTATGGAATATTTGGAACATTAGTATTATCCCATAAGGAGCTCATCCTATAAGAATTAATTACAGTGTTGCCCAATATTCTGTATGCAGTCAGCATGTGGCAAGCTTTAGCCTTAAATGCATCTATAAAAAAGTGAAAAATGAAAAAAAAATGCTTTGGGGGAAAAAAAAGTTACAGGAATCATCAGACAAAAATTCACTCTTAACATTATGGAAATTTTAATGCCAGTTGATGCTAATGAAACATAAATACGTAATGATTTTGAGTTGTTACACACATACCTTATTAAGCAATATTATCTGCAACACTTATATTTGCACACCTACATTTTTTTTGGTGTTGCACAAATACCTGTCATTTTCCCGATGAGGCTAGTATTACTCTATTGATTTCACTTCTATGCACAAAACAATATGAATGCTGCAAGAAGAAGAAAAAGGTTACTTACCTTGTCCCAGTTACTCGTTTGTAGTTGTCTTTGGAATGGACTGCTAAAATACTGACTCCCGAGCCGATGTTCACTACCAGCAGTGGGTAGGGATCGTCCAGGTTAAAAGGCATCTTTTGGCATCGCTCAGGTTCTGAGGCATTAGCAAAATAATAGCACTCTGCTTGTCCATTGAAACTGACAGAATCTATATACAGCAAGCCCTTTACAAGGCAGTCAAGTTCATCTAGTTTGTGCAGGTGGAGGTTTCCAATCTGTAAAAAAAAAAAAAAAAGGAGAAAAAAGTTTTATGAAATGAACAAAGAATAGCATTCAAAATACTGACTCAGTTGTACTGTATAATTTTCAAAATCATCTATGACCACCATGTTTTCACTTGTTGTTTTGTGTCAAAATCTCTTTGGGACTTCAGCTAGTCCGGTGGTTCTCAGTGATGGTGGTTACTTCTGGAGGCATTCTGGAAATCTGTGGGGACATTCAGTTCACAATGATGGGGGCAAGGGGAGGACAAAACTCACATTTAGCAGCAGGGACTTGGGATTCCACATCTGCAATGGGTGGGGCAGTTATGTAAAACAAAGAACGATCCCATTCCTGCATTACCTGTGTTTTGACAGACATTTTGTAGGTAGCAGTAGGAAAATGTATAATTATTTGAGCTTATGTAAGTAAAAAAAGTATCTGTATGTATAAACACACAATCTTCTTTACAGTTTTAATCGATACTAAAATGCTAGGATTGCAACCATCAAATAAACTGAGGAAAAACGGTACTTCTTATTGCTTGAAATTTTACCAAGTGCTGTATAGCACCTTGGAAGATTGTATCCCCAACAGCAATACCGAACGGTACTTCTTATTGCTTGAAATTTTACAAGCACCTTGGAAGATTGTATCCCCAACAGCAATACCATTTATGGTATTTGATTCTCCAATAAAATATACCGTATCAAATTTAGCACTTGTGGCTTTAGAATTCATGGTCAACATATGTAAGGTGCTGGCATCTACCTCATTACACTCTCCCGTGTGATCATACGCGAGAAGCTACCTACCAATAAATATACACCTTAATTCCCTGTCTTCATATTATAGTTTGGTTATTAGTTTGAAATTATTAAATTCATTTCAGGTTAGTAAAGAGTTTATTATAAAACATTTGTTATGAAAGACCTCAGCTTAGATACCACTTTCTCTGGGAAGCTTTTCGGTTTTCTAGGACTCACGTACCATTTCCCTGTGTTCTGTGGCACCTGTTTTCATAGCAACAGTACTAATTGTAAAGCACTGTACTCTTATTTGTAACTCGCTTATCCGTGTGGTCTCGAATACTGCACTCTTTGAGGACTAAGTCTGTCTTCCTCCTATCACAGTGTCTAGCACAAATGACATACTAGATGCTCAAATAATAGCTTAATGATTGAGCATCAACAAAATATTACAGAATTTCATCTCTAGAAAATATTAATACTGAAAAAAAAAATTAGAACTGTGTATTTGGATAACAGTATTTTCAATGGCCAGGTGAAAGCTGGCTCCAAGGACATTGCTTTTGACAAACATGTCCAAACAGACTGGTCGCAAATTTATGTTCAAATTAATAAACTGAACACAAATCAGTATTTCCATCAAAGATAAAAAATTTTCATAAAAATTTAGACTTTTAAAATACCCCAAATTACAAGGGGCTCACTTATGTGAGCTATATAAGTGATCACTTATGTTCTAGTAACAGACTTTTCTTATGTGAATTGAGAAATTAAATGGTGTACATGCATATATTAAAGGAAAATTAATTTCACTAGCCCCAAATATCAACTTTTTAATCTTTATTTTAATGAAAAGGACTAGAAGTCTGGCAGAACTCTACTAGCATATAACTCAATGCCATATTCATAAGAACCCTTTTGAGACAGGCACATAAAACCAGGCAAAAAGGGTAACAGGGACTTTCCATCAGGTGACTACTCATCAAAAGCCACTGGCTTCAGTTAGGATTTGGGAAGGAGATGGCCCTCGGACAGATGACTATGTGGCTAATATTTAGAAAAAGCCATGCAAACGTAGCACAGTTATAATGAAAGTAATTCAAACCCCCTTCACGTCGGCTTGTACCTTGCTAAATTCATTGAAGTCTCTTTTATCGTAGCTATCCCTAAGTTGGCAAGTTTTACCAAATACTATGAACAATCGCTACAGCAAATCTGGGCAGTTTTTACTCATCCTATAAAGGTGTTTAAATGCCCCAAATCAAAAGCTAGTCTGAATACATACTTCCTCTGCAGCAGTAGGAGGACCGCGTCTAAGAAACATGCCACATGGAAACCCGGCCTCATATTTGAAAACCTGAAGTGAATGGCTACTGATTTTTGGCTTTGAGTAACAGATACGTACTGTACGAAAATCTTCTTCAAACTTGTAAGCACCACCTCCTGTAGCACATAGCACCGTGTGTAATGTTGAAAAGTTCTTGTTTCTTCCCATTTGGATAAAAGTAGGCAGGTCCTGCGTAGGAAATCTGATAAAGTGCAGGTTCCCTCTCCGACCAAAAAGTGTTAAATCCTTCAGTTCGAGGTGCACATCCCGAATGCCGGTGGATCCGTACGCCACGTTGGAAGTCAGGTATTTCCGGATACTTTTCAGGCTCTCGACCTCTTCTTGTTCTTCCTCTGCTGTGATATCAATAGGTTCGAAATAGGAGAGCTTTACTAGTGTTCCCCCAATGTCCATGCCAAACCACGGGAAAGCTGCGGATAAAAAAAAAAAGTATGTATGTATTTGGAAATGCAAATTAGGAACCAGTTATTTAGCCACAAACTTCATTTACCTGCCATTATGGGGTAAGACACATCTATGTGCAACTCACCTTTTTCTCTTTAAAGCATAATTTGCATCTTTTCTAAAGACCCATAACACAAGATGCTAAGTTGGCCCAGGGCTTTTTAATTCGTGGTCTGGTAGGCATTCCCTTTCATTCAGAAAATATTTAACATGTGAAGAATTTGGACCAATTCTGTTTTGATAAACAGGTCACCACCTAGGGCTTAAAAACGTTTCTAAGAAGATTTTAATGTAATAAAATTGGCCAATAATCACTTTGAGTGACCCCGAGGGAAAGTACCTCCTTAAAATGAAATATTTTCTTTGCTCATTGAGCAAATAGATTTCTTTGGTACACCTGGTTGATCAAATGAGCTGTTAATGCCGTCGAAGGTAGGTGTACCTAGGGGCAGGCACATATGGGCAGGCCACACAGTTCGGGTTTGGGATTTGGTGCTTTTCTCACTAACCGGGCTATGTGACTTTAGAAAAGCCATTAACTTCTGAATCTTAGTTTCCTCAATATCTGTTTCTGTTCTCTGGGATCTTTTTTATTATGAAAGAAACTCAAAAATAATTTAATACTTAAGATACATAGACTTCAAAATGCCTGATAAAATGTATTAACAATTTTTAATGTAAAGTCAAAACTAGTTCCCTCTAAAATTGTTTCTTAAATATTCATATTTTACTTATTTGCTACGTACCATTAGAAACCTGGAACATGATTCAGTAAGAAAGGATTCTATACATTTCTCTATTTCAGAATTTATACTTATTGAAATCGGTAAATGCAATTATGAGGAAGGAGTGACTCTCATTTTCTTCTGGAGATATAGCTCACTTATTTTTGTATTTGAAGCCCAAGTTACAGATCCAGCTCTACATTAAGGACATTCTTAAGAAATAAACTTTTTAAGTAAAATGACTTTATACTTTAATTTGGGAAGCTAAGGGAGCAAGACCCTCAACAGGCACTTTGCTTTTATATCACCTGTAGATTTGTATAAACTACTAAGATGCAGAAGAAACTACATTTTCTCAGTTTCGTTGGGTGGCTAGCCACTGAGGTCATTTTAAGTAATACATTCTTGAAACGAACGATAGGCTATTTGCAATTTCAAAAAAAGTAGGAACCATATAATATATTTTTAGGAAAAAAGAAATATGCTATCATTCATTACATTTTACTTTCAGTTTATTCATGAAATGTAGTATTCCTGCTTTAACAGATTTATGTAAAAAGTTATACATCAACTTTCTTCCCCTTTTTCAAATAAATCATCGGTAGCAAGCAGCAATAACAGCAGTTACAGATGGGAAATTCATGGCAAGTGTTTGCCTGGACAAACACGTTTCAAGAGAACAATATGGAATAGCTCTATTGATCCAATAAACCAGAGATTCCTTCAGATTTTTCCTGGTCTGCTGAACAGATATGTAACTAGGATGCTTTTCAATGGGCATTAGATAAAATAGGAATCCTTCTGACATTACGTGGCCAGAATGAATTCTACTTGATGCTTGATCATAGACTTCATGGGCAGGGTGGTGTGGAAATCACTGTTGCCACACGAAATACATTTTGGGACAGAAAAATTTCTACCGATTTATTAAGCTAAAAACCTTTATTTGCCAAAATTCAAAACACATTCAAAATTATTTAACGTTTGCAGTTTTTCTTTCTGTGCCTTTGTCAGTGTCAAAATATACACACAAGTAAAAACGTTACTCAGCAAACTACAAAGGTGAAGCATTACCAGATTCAAAGTGCATGCCATTTGTCTTTGTTCCTAGGTTATAAACACCTGAATAGTCATTCTTAAAAATTCCAGTTAACAAGTGAAGAACTTTTAATTCTTACACAAAACCATGAATTAAGTTTTAAAGGAACCTTACTGCCTAGGAAAGTATTTTAAGTTTATATTATCTATAAACTTAATATTGGAGAGTAAGAAATTATTTACTTTTCTAAAGCTCTGCATGATGACCAAGTGTTCTGACCCCAAAGATATACCAATAGCCAATTCTAAAATACGTAACTGGAGAGGGTAGTAGGAAGGCTCACTGAATGAAATCGTTTCTAAGTCTAGATCGCAGGAAAGTGTTAATTGTTTCACTCTTTTTGGGTATAACTATCATGAAAATAATAAAAACCTTCATCTGCTGCTGTTTAAGAAGGCTTTTGTTGACCTATTTGCATGAAAAAACCCAATTTGTCCTATCTCAAAAAGTAAACATTATACAGAAAGTAAAAAGCATTTGTAAACAAAGCTATGTAATATGTTACAGTGTATCACACCTCTCATTTGTTTTAAATTACATTAAATACTGAAGAATATTATAAAATGTATAGGTAGATAAGGCACAAAGAATAATAACCATCAACAACCAGGAACACATGAAACAGAACAGGACATTACTGTCAATTTTAAACCTTTGTGTGACCTACTTGTTCATATATTAGAATAGAGAAACAGAGGTTCTATGAAATAATTCAATTGAAAAAATCATTATATATCCTTCAGGGTTACTGCCCAGAGGCAGGATTTTTTCAATCAACAATGCAAAAAGCCCAAGATGCACATCTAGCATATTAGCTACGTCGGCTCTTTTAGTGCTGTCTCTTCTTAAACGGAGGGTAACTAGAGATGCTGCTGTCTTTTAGACAACACATTTCTTAGTAGCCATGATATGCGAACTAGTACATGTCCCTTCTATTTCTAGCAGTTCTCAATTATGACAGTTTTCTTCTTAATATCAGGAAGGTAGGGACTGGAAAGAGAACTCATCCTTGTCAGTGGCTTCAATTAAAAAAAAAAAAACAAAAAACCTTGGTAATAGCCACTTTTACATACGGAGCCTTTCAATTCAGAAGTTCTAGAATTCATTTCCTTATGCCAGAGAAGCTATCAACATTAAAAAGTATGGGGGAGGCAACAAGAACACAACACAAATTCTTAATTATGATCCATTCCTATCATTTAGATATTGATTTAATTACTAACTTTTACATTTTCCAGTGCATTTAAAAAAAAAAAATCCTTATTTGTTATTTTGTCACTGGCCAAAATTAGAAGGGGAGGGGGCACGGAGCTCAAATATTATTTATCTGCAGTGACCGTATGAAAATGTAAGGTTATTAGGTACAACCACAGGTCCACTAATAGCTCCATGAGGTAAGAAAAATAAGTTTCCTAAGAAGTCAGGCAAGTATCTAGCTTTGTTGCTTCCAGCCAAGGGCCAGGTTAAAAGGAGGTCACCAGTGAGAGCACAAGGAGCCTACTTCAGACAATCGAAATATTTCTTATCCTTAAAACTCTCCACTGCCAAGGTGGAAAAAGGAGTCGAAATACATATTTAAAAAACAAAACACAAGTACTTAGATTATGGCAAATATATAAACAAGTACTTTGATTATGGCAAATATATACCTCCTCTACACTGAGAATATCCTAGTGTATTTTGGTCTTCAAATAAAATAGTAGCTCTGATTCCATTTCTGGCCAGAGCCTAAGAGAGCTGCCATTAGTTCCCTTTTAAATTACAAAAATATCCAGAACGACCATAAGCACAGAGTGCTACCATGAACTATTTCTTATCAGATAGATTATAAATGTGAAATAAGAAACCCACACATCCCATCATCTTTTTAAATGATTAAACAGCATTAGATATCTGGCCACAAGGGCGGACTGTTAGTTTCTAAAAAGCTGCGTTATAAGTTTGGTATCTTGCTAATAAGCATCGGTAAAGGAATAGGGGAGAATCATTTAATTGCTCTTGGCCCAATGCAGATTTCAGCTCAAAGGGATCCTATGTCAAACCAGGATTTAATTGTTCTTTAGCATAAAGAGAAACCAGATGCTGAAAATGTTCAAAACATTACTGGATTGTTTTAAGAACAAAGTTCTAAAATGGGCATATGTACTTGTAAATTCTGGATATGCTTCAAGTTCTTTGATAAAAGAAATTCACTTTTCCTAATAATCATTCCAAATAAAAAGTAGTGTTTTGAAACAGATTAAGAAAATAACCATCTTCACACCTTCAGTATTATAATTCCTTAAAAGAGCTTCAAGTAAATGTTTTTTCCCCTTTGGCAAATTACGTACATCTAGGAGTTATTAGAAACTATCATATCCAATTGTCTCGAATTATCTACTGAAGTGATAATTCTTTTACATTAAATTTACTGGGGTGATAACATTATGTAAATTTCAGGTATATGATTCTCATACCTCATTTGTATGTTGCATTGTGTGCTCACCACCCAAAGTCTAGTGTCCATCCCTCAGCATGTATTTGACCCCTTTTCCCCCTCTTCTTCCTCCCCTGCCCCTTTCCCCTCTGGTAGCCACCATTCTGTTGTCTGTGTTTATGGGTGAGTTTATTTGTTTGCTGCTTTCTGTTTTATAGCCCATATGAGTGAAATTGTATGGTTCTTGTCCTTTTCTGTCTCACTTATTTTACTTAATTATCTGATACTCTCAAGATCCATCCATGTTGTCGTACATGGCACTATTTCATCATTTTTTTTATGGCTGGGTAGTATTCCATTATATATATGTACCACATGTTCTTTATCCAAACATCTGTCGAAGAACACTTAGGTTGTTTCCATGTCTTGGTTATTACAAATAATGATGCAGTGAACGTGAGGATACATATATCTTTGCAAATAAGTGTTTGCAAGTTTTTCAAGTAGATACCCAGAAGAGGGATTGCTGGGTCACATGGTAGCTCTATTCTTAATTTTTTGAGGAAACTATAGTTTTCCATAGTGGCTGTACCAATTTGCAGCCCTACCAGCAGTGTATAAGGGTTCCCTCTTCTCCACATCCTCTGCAACTTAGTTCTTGTCTTACCGATAATAGCCATTCCAATGAGTGTGAGGGTATCTCTTGGTGGTTTTGATTTGCATTTTCCTTATAGCTAGTTACATTGAGCATCTTTTGAGATATCTGTTTGACCCCAGGGCTTCAAATATATGGGGTCAAATATATGTCATCTTGGGGAAAGTGTCTGTTCAAGTCCTCTATTCATTTTTTTTAACTGGATTTTTATTGTTGAGTTGTATGAGTTAATATATATATTTTGGATATTATCCTTATTGGAGGTATCATTTCCAAATACTTTCTTCTAATCAGTTGGTTGCCTGTTTTGTTGATAGTTTCTTTTGCTGTGCAGAAGCTTTTTTAGTTTGATGTGGTCCTATTCATTTATTTTTGTTTTTACTTCCCTTGCTTTTAGGGTCAAGTTCACAAAAACTCCTCTGAGATCAAGGTCTGTAAGTTAAGTACCTACCTATGTTTTCTAGAAGTGATAATTCTTAATTTACAAACAGGCCTTCATGTTTTACAGAAGCAAAATACAAACATATGCTATAAATACTTCTCTGGTTTTGACAAAAACTTCAGGTATCTTACTCTTGGGTTAGCAAAGCAGACTCGAAAGCCTGTATTACATCCAATTTTTAAAAATATGTGTGTATTTTACTATCACCTCATTAATCACGTTGCATACCATACAGGTAAACAAAAGATGAAAAACCTGTTCCTTAAGAAACCATGTCAGTCAAGGTATAGAAGAACACATGATTTTTCGAATTTTTAGTATCTTGAGTATCTAATATTTAAGCAGTGTGAAAAACACAAAGGCAAAGCAAACTATCATTATTTTGGTTCTCGTATATTAACTAGCAAAAATTTTCCATTAATGTTTGACTTCATCCTTTCCCTGGAGTTGAATTAACACATAATTTCAAATGCTAATCTTTTAGTCAGAAAATCTAGAGGAAGAAACCAACTCCTTTTTAAAAAATTTTCTAGTCAAATACATGCATTTGATTTACAACCTAATTATATATTAGAGATATGTCTAAAAGCAAATGTTTTCTGACACTTAGGTGAATAATGTAAGAAAGTGTGTGAAGCCAAAGTCACTTGTTTAACCAGCATGAGATACAGCTTCTAGTTACTGGTGCTGCTATAAAGGCCAAATGATGCAATGCATGTAGATAGCGCCTAACACATACTATGAGCTCACTAAATTTTTAATTATACACACACGTATATAACACATTATACAAGTACTCAGAAACAAAACAAATATATCTTCAGCTAACCTGAGTGGTTTAAAAAATTAGAAATAACACTTTCCAGTTACATATATTTCCAGGGCAGTTCATACTTTCTTTATCACACACACACGATGTTCTTTATTTTTACCATAAAGAATTGAGTAAGCAGTAAAGTCACCTTTACTGAAGATGAAAATAGTATTTTAGACTTCTAAATCCAATTAACTGCCTATTTTTTCAGAATGACCCTATTTCAACATTAGTGGTCTCACAATGTACCACAATGTAATAATAGACAACTTACTTTTAAACAATAGATACTCTTTTATTTCTCAACCTAAAGTTTATTTTATAAATTTTTAATTATCATCTTTGCTGAAAACAACTTTGACAGAGGTAGTATTCATAAGGGATTATAAGTTTGCCCAAATCTAAGTAACCAAATCACTAAGTCAAATAGGAAAAAATACCTTCCGAGTCAGAATCTGAGCTTGTCATAGTTAAACTCATTTTACTAAATGGAAATTCAAAGACAAGCAAAGAAAATGTATGTGTCGAGGGAAGATGTCCAAGTATTTTACATAATGCATCTCTTCAAGATTAGTTTAATTCAGCAAATGTAAATTGGAAGTGTTTCTATATTTGTTATTTCAGCCTTCACATCACTATTTTATAGGCTCCTTGAACAAGAACCCTTTAGCTATCACAAGAACTCATCATTCCTTTTTTTTTTTAATTGGCAAATATAACTACCAGATGGGAAAGGTTTGTGTTTCTCCTAGGTATTTAGACTATGCCCTATGGGTGAAGAAGAAAAAACACTAGACTATGAGTCAGCTGACTTAAGCCCTCAACTTCTTAGAACAAAGTTGGTTGGCTTAGCCTTGAAAAGTTACTCTGGGGCTCAGTAAGTTCAAATTCCTCATTTGTAAAATCAAGACCAAATTATCTTACATTTAAATAGAGTGCTTTGGCATGTTGTGTCTCCTTTGAGGTTTACAAGAATCCTGATGGGTGGAAAAAGGTGTCAGTGCTCCCTTTTATAGCAGATTTCTTAGAATATTGGCAGGATCACGTGAGACACACTAAAACCCCCAAAATACCAACACAATTCTAAAATATAAACATGCATCACCACATTCTTAGTTGTTCTGGAAGAATGGACTTAAAAAGTATGACAATCACAATGGCTGAGTGATTAAACAGGCCATTTACAGCAGTAAAAGGGTTTTAAAAGACTAAAAATAAAAGGGAGCAAATGAAAGTTCCTCTGCTTTCTTAAAGCATGGAAAGAATGTTTTCAAAAGCACATGCATATGTAGTTTTAAAAAAATCTCTTGAGTATTCACCAAAATATTTAATAGTGGTGAATAGTAGTTAACCACTAATAGTGGTTAGCTCCGAGTGGTGGAAATATCATGATTTTTCTCTTTATCTTCTTTTTTTAAATACATAAACTAGTTATTCTACACAAAATTAAGCCACTGGCAGTTTACAAGCTTGTGTGTTTAAAAGCTCTAGTTGTAACAACAGTGACAACACCACGGAACCCAGCAGGATTTCAAGGACACAAGCAGAAAGCCCAGAAATCGGTAAAAACGGTGGGTGAGTGCCCCTGCGCAATTTGACAGGCATGATCACTCATTTTCAACCCGACTGCAGAGGAAGCTGGGACAGGGAACTGGTAGCTAGGGTCAAAAACTCCCCCTTGTTCCGTCCAGGTTTCGAAGAGGAAGTGGGAGAAAAGGGTCAGGGGGCGGCAGGCGTAGGTCAGGCAGGTATAGGGGGATGGGGAGGGAGGGGGCCGCGAACCCGGTGCCGAAAGGGTCCCTCCACCCGCAGCCCATGCGGGGCTCTCGCGATGAGCGACGGGCTCGGAACCAGGCCGCTCCGCCAGGGGCTTCCAGACCGGGCCCCAGGTGCTCTCCCAACCCAGAGGGCCCGAGCCCGCATCTTACAGGGTTTCTTGGCATCCTTGATCTTCATGGCGACGGCCTGGGGGACGAGCGGCAGCCAGGAGAGTAGTGGTGGTGACTCCGGAGGTGGCTGGGCAGCGCCCGAGGCCCTGCCCGTTCCTCCCCTAAGGCCCGGCGGGCGGGCGGGGCGGGCCTGGGGCGGGGCGGCAGCTCCTGAGGTGAGGCCGGGCCTAGGGGGCGGCCCCCCACCTCCCTCGAGGGGCGGCCGGACCCAGCGAGCTGGGGAAGCCGCCGGCCTGGCCGCTCCGGCCTCCCCACCCCCCGCCCCCCCACAGCCGCTCCAAACAAAAGGCCCGGGTCCCCCAGCCGCCACCGCTGCACTGAGAAATAGCCCGCCCAGACCGAGCACCCACGTGACGCGAGCCCCCCTTCTCTCGGCTCCCGGCGCGGCTGCTGGGGATTGTAGTTCTCCGCGTGGAGCGGCCCGGCTCTCCGGCTGCAGCTGGGCGGGTGGACTACAAAGCCCAGGACGCATCGCGCTCGCTCCTCCGGCCCCCGCCCCATTCCGGAGACCGCCCCAGAGTGGTCCCAGAGAGAAGGGGGCGGGGCCTTGGTCACGCCAGCGCCGAGGCCACCAATAGTGACCCACCTGGGCGGGCTGCGGAAGTCTAGGGCTCTGGCCTCGCCCCGCCGCCTGAGGGAAGGGAAGGGAACCGTGCAGGTACTGGAATGGCTCTTCTGCAAAGTCACAGCCTTTCCCTGCAGGGAAAAAAACCTGGTCACTGTGTCACGGAAAGTGCTAAATACGGGGCTCTAGAGCCACTTGTTACACAGACCATTGAGTGCATTAGTAAATTAAAGTCATTCACAAAGGAATCCGCTGGCGTAATAGAGGTACCTCAGATAACTGGAGTTGGAGAGGTGATGATGATGATAATGACAATAGTAGTAATAGGTAAGGTTTATTGAAGGCTTACTGTGTTCAAGGCACTCAGCTCAGCACGTTTTGTGAATTGATTTAATTTAGCAACCTTGTGAACTGCGTTCAATTATTGTTTTATTATCTATCACTTAATTTTGAAGATGGGGCAGGACGTGAGAAGTTAAATCACTTGCAGAGTTCATGCTCTTTGTCACCATTCCACGGTTTCCTGGGTGGGGTGGGGTGGGGTGGAGGGGTTGCTCTGCAGCCCCGCTCCCTCCTTCCAAAGGGTAAATTGATTTCCAGAGAAGAAAATTATATGGTCTAGTTGTCATAGGAAAGCCAGAGCACCCCTTTCCCCCTGCCTCCTGGATTCCGAGTCCTCTAGCTGGAAGGGGAAGGGATGGAATTGGGGATTTGTTTTCCGGTCTCCCCTCCACATCTGTCCTCCCAGTTAGCTGACCTGGAATTCGATGACTGGCAACAGATGGTATGAGAATTGGCAGCGGAGGATTGAGCCTTATTGCCCCTTCCTTGTGCAGAATAACACAAGGGTTGTGAATAAGGATAGGAGGGGACACAAAATTCCACTTAGGGAGCATGTTCTAAGAGCTGGCACTTTGCAAGGTGCTTTTCTTTTTAAATTTTAATTTAAATTTTATTCTCATCGCCAGCCGTTGAAATACAATGATTAAGAACCCAAACTTGAATTCACATTTCTGTCCTACAGCTTGGTTAAAAATTTGGTCAAACTATTTCTTTTCCTCTTTTTTTTCCCCTCTTGGTCACTTCATCCCACATAAAACCCCACATATTCTTGAATGGCCTTGTTTTCCCAGTTTTACTGGGTGAGAGTCATGGTTTCTGATCTGACATGACTTTCAAAGAGTGTTCTTTGGCTAATATGATTCACCCACTGATTCCGCAAGCTTTTTGCACCCTCATATCTTTCGGTCGTTTCCTGCCTCTTTTTGATAGCATCAGCTTGGAAGTCAAAGGGGAAGTGATACGTGTGTGCTTTGTGTTAGCGCAGCTATGGTCATAGAGGAAGGAGAACTAGAAATGGATGTAAAATTAGGTTTACACCTGTGACGTTATGCGCCAGAAAAACAGTGAACTTTAAATAATGAGGAATTACTCTTAGATCAGGCACAGAATTTCTCTGTGACGCTGGGAAGGTCCTTTCTCCTCTCTGGGCTCCAAATTACCCCTCTGTAAAATGAAAAAATTGTCTGCATTTTCTTTCATCTCTGCTTTTTGAGGTTCACTAAAATATGTCTCTTTTTTTCCGGAGCAGTCTGAGATACGTTCAGCTATGTTTTCCCTTAAGTTCACAGTGTTATTGAAACCGACAGGTCATCCTGCTTCAGTTTCTGGCCAGAATCTTTCTTTTGCAGCCCACGTTGACTGTCAGCCCCAGTCCCTTCCTCCAGCACTGTCCGGTTAACTGCATTTTCTCTCTTGTCTAGCATGTCCTCAAAGTTCTTCCTGGTAGAGTATGGGCACTGAGAAGAGCATCTAAAGGGGCCAAGAGACTGTCTTAATATATATTTTCTACCAAACATGATAAATCCGCTCTGTCTTGCAAAGTGATAGAGAACACCTGACATATCCTCATTTTGCTGTTACTGAGTGGGTTTCCATGGAGACAGGTGGTAGAGTGTACCTAATGATGACTGCGAGGTCTCCTGGCATGAATTAAACATGCGTGCGTGCACGCGCGCGCGCGCACGCACACACACACACACGGCGTGCATGCGCACGCACACACACACACACACACGCACACCCCAGCTTCAAAGCCCAGCACAAGCTTGTAACAGTAGATTCTGTCTCTAATTAGATGGTCAGGGACATGCTCTAGTCAGTCCTTGGATCCACAAACTCAAAGCAGCAGCTTGACGTGGGAGGGCATCGTTAGCGTGAGCATCATCAGGATCATGGTCTTAATCATCATCATCATCATGATTGTGGAAGCACAATTTCATCCAACAAATGTTAATTGAGCTTTAACTGTGTTCCAGGCACTGGAGTACATGCTGTGGGGAAGAGAGGTGAAAAAGAGAGAAACAAAAATCAAGTTAGGAAATCTGTAAGCAAGAATAGGCTGTGATAAGTGACATGAAGGAAATCAGGTTGATGTACTAGAGCGGCGGTCCCCAAACTTTTTGGCACCAGGGACCGGGGCTTCTCTGCTAATCTAATGCCTGATGATCTGAGGTGGAGCTGAGGCGGTGATGCTGGTGCTGGGGAGCGGCTGCAAATACAGATGAAGCTTCCCTGGCTCACAGCCGCTCACCTCCTGCTGTGCAGCCCAATTCCTAACAGGCTATGGACTGGTACTGGTCCACGCCCAGGGGTCTGGGACCCTTGTGCTCGAGGGTGTCTGGAGTTGCAGCAGAGGAGAAGGAGGCACCATGTTCGTTTGGATGGTAAGGGAAGACTTCTAGGAGGTGGCGTAGGGGCTGGGATCCATGCAGATTGCTGGGAAAGATAGGTGTGACTGGCACTGGAGCTAAGTTTGGTTTGAGAAACAAAAGCCGAGTATGGGGAGGAGAGAGCACGGAGTGACGTGATTGGAGGTGAAGTTGGAGAGGTGGGCATGCTGGGCCTTAAGGACCCACGGGAAGGGCCTCTGGAAGCTTTCAAGCAGGGGAGTGACACGATCTATGATTTTAGAGGGTTACTCTGGCTGCTTTGTGGAGAGTGTGTGGATTGGAGAGGTGCCACGATTTGCAAACACCAGTCACCTCAGGCCCCTCCCTCGCCCTCCTGGCCCACATGCAATCAGTCACCAAGTCAAGGGGGCTCCTGGAGCTGGGGTGGGGGGACTCGAATCAGTGTAGTGACAGCAGAGACGAGAGAAGTGCTTGAATCAGGAACTTCAGTTAACGTGCTTCCTGAGCTCCTTCAGTGTGCCAGGCACTGTTCTGGGGATTAGGGATATGCAGCAGAGGACGAAGCCCCCGCTCTCCTGGAGTTTACATTCCAGAGGGGACCTGGACAGGAAACAAGTGGACAGGTCTGTAACGTTATTTTAGATAATATAAAGTAGGTAGATGGTATATATTTAGATAGTATAAATGCTGTGAAGATGATAGCGAAGATGGGAAAGCAGGAGGGGGTCACGAGTGATGAGGCTGTTTGAGATGGAGTGGTGGTTGAGGACGAGTTAGATGAGGTGGATGCAGAGAGGGGAAGGGAGGCACGAAGGGGAGGCTTTAGGGTTTGGGCTTGAGTATTGGGGTGTATGGTGCTGCCACTTGCTAAGGAAGAGGAGCATGGGGAATAAATAAGTGGGAAATTAGGGTTCTGCCTTGGCCTTGTTGCTCCTCCAGGGCCATCCTGTCCTCAGATTGGGGATGCAATCCATGTTTTGTCATAAAACCCAGTTTGTTTTAGCAGTTGACGATTTGTATCTTAGCTGCCCCCAGCATGGTTGTCACTTACTTCCACCCCACCCAGGAATGAGTCCTCCCAGACTTTTTCTTATAGGGACAGGAAGTGCCTGTCTCTGGAGCTGTGCTCCTCCTGCTGATCTCCACCTCCTGGCACTTTAGCCTCAGCAAGTCCAGGCTCGAACTCATCATCCTCCCACCCCTGTTCTGTCTGCTCACTCTCCTCAAGGCCCACCCTCAGCTGGTGGTAGCAGCATCCACTCACTCAGCCAGCATAAAAGTCGGGAGTCATCCTGGACCCCTCTCACCCCCTCACAGCCCACATCCAACCAGTCACTAAGTCCTTTGGCTGTTACCCCATGTCTGTTCCTTCCTGCCAGCCTCACTGCTCTCGCCTGAGCCCCAGCCTCCGCATCTCATTTATACCCTCAAAGGCTCTTCTTGCCTCTGGGCTGGCTTTTCCCCATCCACTTGCCTTACTGATGTCAGAGTGAGTTTTTTCAAAAGCAAACCAGACTGTATTATTTCCAGGGCTTAGAACCATGCCTCTCCCCCACATTGTCTTCAGATTAAAATCGCAGCCTTTTAATTTAGGATATAAGACCCATCATGTTTGGCCTCTGCGAACCTCTTTAGCTGCTTCTCTTGCAACTCTATGCCCTTTATTACATGCTCCAATAAGAAAAAATGCTTATAGTAAACCGAGTGCATGCTATGCCTGATGCCTTCGCCCCGTTGGCATGTGGAAGGCTCTCTTCTTGAGTTCCCATTGAACACCCAGCCATACCTTAAAACCCAACTCAGAAATTCCCTCCTCCAGAGAGAGGCTTCCTTTCCTCTCTGGTACGTCTGGTCCTTGTACAAGCTTCTACCTTTGCTATTTGTTGCACAGTAACACAGTGACCCGTTTACCTGCCTGTCCCCTTCAATACCAGAGGAGCTCTTTGAAGACTAGGATTGCGACTTACTCTACTTGGTGTGCCCAAACCTCTCCTGG